GCTCATAAAGACGCACTCAAACAGTCTGTTTGTGCACCGTTTCACCCACTTTCCAAGTCCTCCCTTGGCGCGGATCCCCCCCTGACCCCCCCGCAAGCGGGGGGGGGGGGGAACCACATCCGCGTCCACACAGTACGGACAAGGAAAGTGGGTGACATGGGGACGCACAAACAGTGGCTGAAAAGTGGACTTCCTTCAAAAAACACTCGCGGCAAATATTTTATTTTGGTAAAGGTGGTGGTCAATGTAGGTCCCATTTTGGTATTTTTTTCTTATTTAACATTTTACAATATATGTATTATATTTTATTAACTTATTTAATTAAATATAAAAAACAAATAAATTAGTTTTGACCAAGTTTTTCATGTAGATAATCTGTATGGCAAAAGATCTTTGGTTAAAAGATAATAATAAATTATATAAAAAACAAATAACAGATATTTTCCTTTCGAAAGACTTCAAAGCAATTCCGCCACAAATCGGGATAATGATAGTAATAATTTTTATAATTTAAAACAATACTTTTCTAGTTTAAAAGAAAAATCCAAACCGAAATTCTCCAACAAACAACAGATTGAAGACGTCAGGATATCACATCGCATCCAGCACAACACTTCCTCCACTTATCTGATTTATCAAAAACGGCCAAGAGAAAAGTCATATTATCAGTACCTGGTTGTTCGTAAGGGTTCTCAGCCAAGCACTTGTTCAGTATCATTTTGCAGATTTGGTCGATTAAGATCCCTCCGTCCAAACATTCCTTCACAAATGAAACAACTTCATCATTACTCATCACATCAAATATTCCGTCACATGCAATGATCATAAATTCTTCACTTCCGTCAAAGTCGTACGTAGTGATTTCTGGGGTTGCGGAAACAATATACTTCTCAGGGTTGTTTCCTTTCTTGAATTGAGTGTCTCCAAATGCTCGAGAAATCATTAAATCCCCATTGACGCGTCCGTTCACAACACGTCCACCACACGCGACAACACGATCGGCCTCCGCTTTGACATTGAGTCTTTGGTCGGTGGTCAATTGAAGAGTTTCGTCGCGCTTCACAAGAACACATCGGCAGTCCCCAACGTTAGCAATGGTGAGTTGGTACTCATCGAAGAGTGCAGTGAGAGCAGTTGACCCGATTGTGTTCGCCAAGTTGACATTAGTGTCAGACAGCACGCTCTTTTCATACAACTCCGAGTGTACAGCGTCGTTGAGCATCTTCGAGCCTTGCGGAGTTTTCAAGGTGGCGTCGAGAGACAAGTAAGTCTCCTTCAAAGCGTCCTGGATCGACGTCGCGAAGTGTGAAGAATTCATCAGCGCCTTTTTCATCTCGAGGGAAAGGTACTTTGAGACCTGAGGTCCTCCATGCCCATCGTAGACACCTACCATCGAATAATTTTCACAAGAAGTGATGATATGAGCGTCTTCCATTTCCTTCCTCCAGCTACTTGTGAGTCTTATATGTTTCCTTGACTACAATTTCAATACATCGCAATACAAGTTATACCACATTAGCACTATAAGACACGTATTGACAATAACGATGGTGAAAAAGACAACCCTTGCATACTGCCGTATGCTACGGCAGTGCTATTCAATTGAACTCTGCTTGATTCTTGATTTGTGTTTGGCGTAGACAAGAACTCTCCCATTGCTGGCACACTTCTATTTTTCTGAGTTTCAATACCCTGATATATACACTGAGTTCTCTTCTTTTAACTTATAAATCTTTTTACTATTATTATTAATTATTCACAATAAACTTCAAAGATGTTCTCAAAGGTGGACTTTACTCGGATTTTGCCGTTTCTGGGTATTATTCTCATGGTATAATTAATGATTTTGGTAATCAGTTTTTTATTAAAGCATTTTTGGGAAACAAAAGTGTAAAGTCAAAAGATAATAAGCCTTTTGTTAATGATAGAAATATTTTTATTATTTCTATTTGTTCATTTCAAGACGAACTTTTTTTGTAGTTTTTTTCTATACACTTGCGTTTTTGCTGTTTTGTTTGGTTAGTTTCTATACTGTTCTTTTATAGCTTTTAATTAATTATATTTTATTAATTTTATAAAAACAACAGACTTCCATATTTCATTGTGGGAAGAAAAAGAGAAAAATGCAGGAGAAGAAGAAAAAAGAAGATTAATAGTTTTGATTTTGGTTAATTTTTAGATATTTCGCTTGTTCACAAAAATTAATATAAATGTTTACATTCGCAAGTTTAAACAAAACGGGTTAATCACCTTATTAACACAATATTAAAAAATAACTTAATTTTTCATTTTTTTTATTTTTATTCATATGCTATTTTTTGACTTTTTCATAAACAATATGTATAATAACATTTATTATTTTTTTACTAAAAAAATACTGACATAAAAAGTGCAAACAAATAAAAAATTATTAGTTTATAATTAAAGTTAAATTTATTGTTTTATTATAATTTAAATTATTAGAATATATAATTGTGAATAATTATATTTTACAAAAAAGAGAATGTGCCAAACAGATGAAAAAAAAGCTTTTTGTGACAAATAAAGATGAAATTGAATAACAAAAACGACGATGTTTTGAAAAAAAAACTTTTTTTCAATCTTAATTTCTTTCGAATTTCCAGTTTTTCCTTTATTTTTATTTTTAGTTGTTTTCCCGTTGTTTTACAACAAAAAAGCCTTTTCGATTGATTTCTTTATCACCTTCTTGACGTCAAAAAAACGATCTTATATAACTTTGATGTAAATCTTATAATATATTTTTTTCCACATAAAAAAACATAAAGCTTATAAAACTTGTTTACACAACACATAATACATCAAGTGACTTTATTTATTTTCAAGTATAATTTAATAATTTATATGTAAATTAAAACGTACCTTTTTATGTTACATTGAAGGTGTAGTAACATATTGCATGGATATAATTACAGGTGCTGTCGTTCAGTTGTTTTTTATAAGTTGAACGACTTTAACTCATGCATATTTATTTGTTATTCTTTTATTTGTAATAGACAAGAACTGGTTAAGCTGATAGAAGTGACACTATGTTTTTTTGATGTACAAGACAGAATATTCATGCAATGAGCTCGAGATTTTTAAGTGCATCTTTTTTTCTTATATCAAAAGGTGAATTGCACTTTTTGATAAGAATTGACCTTTGTAGGTATGATTGAGTAAAATACCATTTAACAAACAAGTTGAGTGTTTTTTTTGAAAATTGGTTAAATACTCTTGAATATAACGGGAATTCAGCACAACCTCTGGTGGGCTCAGTATTAACAAAAAATATTGTGTGTGACCAGAGTAAAAAACTGTGGTAGTTTCAATGGACTTTTCGATTGTTTTTTAATCCAAAAAAATATAACCTTTTTTTATAAAATTAATGCAATTCAATTCTTCCTTTTTTGTAACATAAAGAATATTTTACCAACTTATTTCAAATGGTGTTTTTTCCGAATCAATGAGCATATAAAGTCAATTCAATTCGGGGAGTTTTGTATTTGGAAATAAAAGAGGCATTTAGTCAATTATTGTATGCATTAAATAATTTGCTCTGAAAAACTTCATCCAATTCTATAAAAAAGAATAAATTTTGTACGAATAAATAAACTTACAAAATAACTAATAAAACAGATGTCATTTGTCAAAATGAATGTCCCAGTCTCTGTGAAAGAAGGCGAGTACATCATGTCGAACGTCGAGAGTGACGATGAGGTGCTTGAGATATTAACACAGAAGGAACTCTTTACTGAAAAATTTGCGAAGAGAAAAAGTGCTGTGCTAACCTCTGATGATGTACAATTTGAGCGATGTCTAAACCCACCTCTTTGTGACTATTAACTGTAATTTACTGTGTGTTAATTGCTGTTTTCCCAGTGGTGTTTGTACCAATCAGAACATCTGGAAGTTCTTGAATTGTTTGAATATGTTTTATTTAAACACAAGGCACAACGAAGGATGTTTTTTTTCACTCATTTGTTAAAAAAGGAAAATGTTTTATATTCGCACTTTTCTTCATCTCAATTAGTCCCTCCCAACAATGCCGGTACTTTCCTTATTCTATTCTATTATTAAAAATTAATAATAACTGTATTCAATTGGTAATGAATGCCGCACTTTTGTGGCAAATCTCTCCATATAACTTTGTCTCGATTGTCCAAAAATTGTTTTTTTTAAGAAAATGAACACCAAAAAAAATGATGTTGTGAAGTTTTGGGAAGGTGCAGTCGTTTTTTGAATTAACTGGTTTAAAAATAGATCTTTTATTTATATTGCTCATTGGTTTATAAAATAGAATGCTAATACCTTTGTTTTGGTAATGTTTATTCACTTTTGAAATTAATACAGTATTAATTTAAAGTATTTAAAAACAAATAAACTCAATTCAATTAAATAGGTTTTTTTGCACTTTTTTGAATATTTTATCGCAACCGCCATTAAATGCCATTTTTAGTCACTTAATGAAGGGAATATACTTTTGTTGGGTTTATAAATAAAGTCTTCACTTTCCAAGAACGAAATGTGTGAATTCCAGTCCTCGACAACTTCTTTGTTTCTTTTCGAGTTTTTCGAATCAAACTATATGATATAACAAATTTTACTATTATTATAATATAGATATAATTACCCAGTGCAAAATGCTGTTCTATTCAGTTAGTTAAAAAGATGAGTCTTCACAATATTAGTAGTTTTTCAGTTTACAATATTTGGAAATGGCACAAATAGAATACTTTAGGTTTAGCATTAAAACACAAAATAGGAACTTCCTCAATAATAACTTCCAACAAAAAAAAACTATTCAATTATTATAATTTTACTACTATATAGCTATTTCAAACCAACTTTTTAATTTTTGTACTTTTTTATTGAAAAAGTTGTTATTGTAAGAAATAATAATTTTGATTAGCGTTCTATATTTTATACTATATAAACTATATTATACTAAAGACCATTAATTCACTTATTTTTTGACAAACACAGAGAACACAAGACTACCTATAACAATGATCGCATATAAAAGCACCACAAAAAGACCATACAACCTTCCAAACACAACTCTCGAAGCCACAACAGCCACCAAAAGATGCAGTGTGATCAAAATAACCGTCCCAAAAATGATGATATACACCACATAACTGTTAAATGGATCCGCGTGGTTCACTGACATCCCCAAGACTACATAGAATATCGTCCATGGAACTACAAGGACAACACATATATTGAACAACCCTTGATAATACCCATTACCTACAGCAACCTCTCCACATCCTTTAAACCCTGCGTTCCATCCATTTATAATGTGCCGCATCCCTATTCCTATTACAGAACACAACGATATTCCGAGTGCTTCTCTCGACACATTGAGTACTGCAGAGAGCCTTAATGACACAACAAACAACCCAAATCCCATTATTGCCAAGTACGCCAGACTGACCACAAAAGTGAGTATTCCTGAACATACAAAATTGAACCGTGGTATCGTATATTTCATTACCATGATCGGAACAAAAAAAAGATATTTCTCAAAGCCTTGGACATCTCTCTGTCGTATTTTAGACCATTTTGTTATATCAAGAAGACCAACTTGTTTTTTTCCTTCCTCTTTATTATTCGATATCAGGCAATTTAAGATCCCAACCCATTGCGCCCGATGCGAACTCCGCATCCCTATCTCTCGCCTATCATACAACACTATTTCAAATATAGTCGAATCTACATCATCTATAACACAAGCTTTAATGTCCTTCATTTCAACTTTGAAGAGCTCGTCACACCTATTTGTCGATCCCTCACGAACAACGATTTCGTCCATGTATATGTCTACCCACAACTCTGCCCACTGCGATTCAGTAAACATCGCTTCACTATAATCAGAAGACTTCACTAAGACAAGACCAGCCTTGACTACTCCTTCTGTCTCTGATGGCACGTCTGTCTGTGGCTCTTTCACTACAGACCGACTTAACATTCTTGTGGTGATCTGTGCAATAACGTAGTGAATGAGGTACGTGCCAAAAGATATCCACAAACACATCGTCCCGATCGGGTCATCGCCGTTATTTGAATGCAATGAAATGGCAAACAACGAATAGAGTAACAGACCAAAGAGTAGAATAATAGAGTCTCTCTCGTAAGCATACGGATTCACTTTGATTGGGTTGTGCGAGTTGAATGAAGTGACTCCGGAACATACAACAGTTCCACATAATACACACCCAATGACCATCCCAGCAGACAACGCGTAATACTCGTTGAACAAAACACCAAATACAACAATTATTATTTCAGGAAGAGTGTGCGCTATTGACATAAGAAAAGGGACGTGGATTTTAGTGTGTAATATATAAATAGAAATGACACAAAAGCCGTTAAATGTTGGAATAATATACCGGTCCATTATATAGTGAAAGCCTTGTTTTCAGTATGTCGATATAATAAGTGGAACAAACAATACCCCAACTGGAAGATAATGAAAATGTAGATGAGAAACCCTCCATATTTCTCAAAGGAAGTGATGTGGTCAAGAACTGGTGCAATGTCTAATACTATCTTCACCATTATTTGTTTTCAAGTTCAATTTTTGAAGAAGTAGTCTTTCATTAACATTTTTTTTGTAATTAACATGTTTTTTTATTTATTAACATCAATTTATTTAGAACTCGGTAATTAATATCTGTAATTATTATATATTGAAATTATTAATAAACTCGTTAAATATTAATAATACTAATAAAATAAATTCGTTAATTAAAAAAGTTTTTGAGGTTATAGTTATTGTATAATTTGTTATATAATTTTCATACACTCGAAAAATTAACGAGTTATTATGATTTAGAATTGAAATGAAATTACCACATAACTCGTTAAATTAAAAAATATGTTAATTTTATCACCCACATCAGTTGTTGAGCTTCACAAATCTTTTCTGAAATTCCATTGTCTCTTCTGCCTTTTTAAAGAACTTTTTGTGTCTCGAGTAGTCTGCCAAAGCAGTAGGGGATTCATATTTGAACTTTTCGAGTGAGTTATTGATTTGTGTTTCCATGTCTTTAGAAGGGTCTGGTATTTCTACTGGCTTCATATTAGGCAACACAAAGCTCCCAAGGATTTCCTTTCGTACGAATAGCATTATAAAGCTCTCTGCTTTCTTTTGGACAACGTCTGGCACCGCCCTGGACTGTAAACTTGGGATCTCAATTTTGATTTCCATTTGAGGTTCTGTTGTGAACGCAAACCAGACGATGTTAGTTGGGATGCTTTGAAACATTAATCTGACGAGTGCGTCCAATTTTTCCAACTTAGCTATAGCGGTGACTGTAATAGTTCCAAATAACAATTTCAACTTCACGTTGAATTTAATAGTGAAACCGTCCAAATAATGTATTGTTGCATCAACAAAGGTCTTATCTGGAGAATTTGTTGTGCGGACTTCGGGATCATTGAACACGGGAAGGAACGGTCCCATCTGAAATTCACTACACTCAAACTTCTCAACGAAAGAAGGGAGGGGGTTCTTGTTAATTTTGGTCTGGATGACCTTCTTGATCAAATTAAGGAAGACGTTGTTATTATAAAACGTGAAGAAGACTCTGTGCGCCAAATAGTTCGCACCATAGAACCACCCCAATGACTCTCCTCCTTTCAATAATGTGATGTTGTCCAACACTAACGAGAAGTGCTTTGCATAACACTTGACGCGCTTGGCCTTGTCGATATCAGACAAGCCGTCCGTGTCTTTCAAACAGTTTAATGACACGGAAGCACTTGAAGTTGTCTCCGAGATGTTTTGAATCAAACTGAGGTAGAAACGTTCGAGTGCAATGCCCGTCTCAAAGTGCATTTCGACTTCATAATATGATGGGAAGATTTGTGTGACTGCTGTTATCCTAAGACCATCACCGGGAAGATATCTTAGAAAAGTACCTGGTACTGTCGCGCTTGTGATATCTGTATACAATACGTAATACTCTTCTGTCTCAACTTGTATCAAAATCCCTTTGTCACTCAACGACACAACACTTTTTGTCTCTTTTTTAACATCTTTCTTGTCTTTGTTTGTTTCCTCGGAGTCTCCAGTGATAATCAAAGTGTTATACTTCGGGTTTTGTGTTCTTTTGATGAAAATGTACTCTTCGGAAGAGATGTAGTTGTCTTCTCTATTTGCGTCGATGTTCTTTTTTGATTCATCGAATTTTTGTTGAATGAGTTGTAAGACGTACTTCGTACGCACAGCAAAATAAATTAGTAGAGCGGGAACAAGTCCCACGCCTAAGCCCACAATAACTCCAAACATAAAAAGGAGTTCATAGTTACCTCTTTTTTAATTTTAAAAAGAGGAAACATCACTTTGGTTGGTCTAAATCTGTGAATCGATATACTAAACCATAAAACAAATATTAACTATACATTATAGAAATAAATAGATGGGAACTCTGTACCAGTGGCACGTTACTGTGTTACAATGAACCGATACACTTCTTCTGTGGTTTTGTTAATTCGGTGATCCCAAGAGTTCTTAGAAACACTTTGTTCTTCTTTGACATCTTAAATCTCGACGTCGCATACTCTGCAAACGTTTTGAGTGCTGCTGGAGAGAGTTGTTTCATAACAACTTGTTGTTGTAAAAGGTGTTTCACCGTGTGTGCTGATTTCAGCGACAAATAACAAAGCGATTGCAACGAGTGTCGTGCACTTTTATAAACGTTTTCGATCATATTGACTATTAAGAAAGGGTCGCCCATAGTGTTTCCAAAAGAATACTCTGGCATCATGTTTATGTACATTGCCGTATAGAACTCTTCGTGGTACGAAGTCACGCACCCGCCCGTCTTCTCGTCGATTGCAATCACTGTTGCCCCACCGAGTATATTTTCCCAAGAAGTTGTAGGTACTTGCACAGACTCGTACCCACCTACCAGTTTATTTTTCCCTCCAATAACCCATTCTCCTTCAATAGAAATACTTTTTAGTGTGACTTGTGACGCTTTCGGTCGAAACTGTGCATTCTGTTTAAGCCCAAATAACTCCAAAAGTGCGCTGTTATTGAAGATCACTTTATCGCCTTTGTAAGACTCTTCGTACCAAAAGGCCGCGTACGTTGCTATTATACCTTTGCCAACGTTGTTCGAGACATACCGTTTAATCGCGTCAATTTCATCGACTGTAAGTTGTACTGGAGTTCCTGCCGTATCTGAAAGGAAGAGAACGTCCGGTCCGATTTTTTTGAGAAGGTCGTATGTGATGATTTGTGTTGTGTTAATCGAGACAGACACTTTTTGTGAATAGCGACCTAAGACCCCCATGACGTGGTACGAGCCCGGGTGTGATTTTAATAGAAGTACTCTGATCCGTTGCACCTTCATCTGTTTTTGATTTTTTTCACTCACAATTTCGATCACACTGTCAATCTACAGGTTCATTGAAAATGTTAACACCACTTTTAGCTCCACTTTAACTTTGGTTTGTAGTTTTGGAATCTTTGTCTTAATCATAAATTAATATTAAAACCAAACATTTAGTTTTGTTTGGGATTGACAAAAACGCTTTTTTGCTTTTATTAACTTTTTTTACCGGATGTATTAATTGACTTTTATTTGAATGATTCTGTTATTTTGGTGAGCATAACAATTGTTTTCTCCGATATAATATTCAGTTTTTTTATGGAAAAAATAATCAATACACTTTTGTAAAAAGGTTTGAATGAGAGGAACAAGTTAAAAAGTTTTTGAATTTTGACATAAATAAGTTTTTATACACTTATTTAACATATTAATTAATTTAACACATTTTGTAATTAACGTCATAATAATTTGTAATAATCGTTAATAATAAATGTTAAAAAAACACATTACTTAATATAATTTTGAACGTTGATTAAGATAAAAAATCAAAAATAAATTCGTTAATTAAAATTAAAAGAATTGTTAATACTTCAATTAAAATCCGCCATACTGGGTTTTCTTGCTTCTAATAACAAAGAACATTATAACACCAACAATAGCAGCGATCACAACAATAATCATAATAACTCCAAAAACAATACCAAAGATTTCTCCACCAGAAAGTCCATCATCTTTTGGTTCAACACTTTTGCTTTCAGAAGATACATCATCGTCATCATTTTCTTCTTCTCCAAACCATTTGAATGATATTCTTCCAAGTCCATCTTCTGTGTTCTTATAAGCACCAACAAAGACATAAATAGTCTCACCACTCTTCATATCATACTCAACTGATGTCCCCCTTTCACCAATGGGAAGATCTTTGTGATCTCCATAAGCTAAACATTCCGATGGCAATGACTCATGAAGCTTCGTTTGGCATGACTTGTAGACACCTATATGGGAGACAAAAGAAGTGATGTCGTCGGTATTAATTGATAGCTTTTTATCCTTTGTAGCAGTGACAGTATACCAAACACCTTTAATACCATCAATAGTCTCTCCACATACTCTACGTGATGAATAAGAGTACATTGTGTTGAAATACTTAGTGGATGGAACAGAAACTGCCTCAGCCGAAGTACATTCTGCATTGGGTTGAATGGCGTTTTCTTCATAAATATTGACTCTTGCAACTTCTTTGGCATGTTCTTCATATGAAGAGTGAATGGAGACCAATCCATTCATATCTTTTAATACTGATGGTACATTCACTTTGACATATCCACCATTTCCACATGTTGGAACAAAATTTGACTCTAACAAACACTTCCAATCAGGAGCCGTGTAATCACCAGAGACATCTGGAACAACCAAATTTGTAGTCTCGTCACCACATGTGTTAATTGCATATGACTTACCCGCTTCAATCTTGAATCCATAGTAGAGACCAACAGTGTATCTAACTTGCCAACATGGCCAATTGTGGTAAGAATTGCCCAATAAAGCAATACCAGTGTATGGGAGAGACACCTCGATTCTATCTTCGATAGTCTTTCCATTCTTTTCCATTCCATATCCAATGAATAACATAAATTCACCAAAGGCCGGCAAAGCTTCTGAAACACTTGCTTGATTCGCCAAAGGAGCTGTGGCAAAGATGTTTATAGTCTTTCCTTTATTCAAAGTGAATTGAGCAGTGTTACTAAATTCAGAACAGAGTGACGGAGAGGAACAATCGTCGTTAATCTCAATGTATGTGTTGTAGTATTGTGTGTTGCCTGGTAATACACTGACAACGACCTCGACATTGTCTTTAATTCCAGTCAATTTGTACCATGCTCCTTGTTTGTTGGATGCCATCATACATCCACTCTCTGATGTGAGATGTGTTGCTCCAATTAATTGTTTTGAGAATTTGTCTCCTTTGTTCATAACAGAGATTTCTTTGGCAGCAGAGCACTGATAGTTATCAGTGTCTCCGACTTTTGATATGGTCAAAGTGATAGGATTAATATTAGTAGTTGAAGATGCTCTTATATAGTACACCTTACCTATTTCTAATGTTTTGATATAGTACTTCCCTGATCCACATGCTTTTCTGTCAGTGGTATCACAGGCATCACAACTTCCATCAAAGAGTTCAACGCTTGAATCCATTCCACCAGAAGTTGCACAAGTATGGATTGCATATCTTTCTCCATCTCCTTTAATTGTTGCATAAAATCCATAATTCTCTGTTTTGCATGAAGTAGTGGTCTTGTCCATATTTTTCAAAGAGACTGTAACAGTGACTGGAACTGAAGTAATCGCATATGCCTTTTCACATGTAGATGCATCTGCTTCGTATGATATGTATAATTGGATGGATCCAACGTTTGGTGATGTCTCAGTGTCATCAGATGAAGTAACATACAACATGTATTTCGTTCCAACTACAATGGTCTTGGCAAGTCTTCCACTGTTACCACACCCATATTTATCAGAGATAATAGCAGTGTCGTATCGGCATCTTGTATCTGTGTAATTCATTTTATCTGCTTCAAAAAGATACAAAGCAGCGGCAACTGTTGTGAACTTGTTGCATGTGTTTATGTAGATCTTTTCTTGCTCTGCAGTGAAAGTGAACCAGTACCCTCTGGTGTTCTGATATGAATCAAATGAAGCATCAGCAGTTGTAGTAAAAGTTTGAGTACTTGGAACTTCAATTCCAACTGCGTTGTTACAATAGACGTTATTGTAATCGACAGTTTTGGAAACCACCATTCTAAATTGGCCATTTTCTATAGCGGTTGTTCCTGTGACCATGATATAATATTTCTGTTTCTCTGTTGCTGTGAATTTAATTCTTGATCTATGTCCTTCACATGCCTCCAAAGTGGCATCTTCAGCATTGACACATTGTTGTAGAACATCATTACCGCACATTGTACCAACAATGATTCTTGGTGATATTAAAGTTTCAGGATAGCAAGTGCTTATAACAAACTCAGCTTTGTGAGCTGGTGTAAAAGCAAATACGTAACTGCCTTGTGTGATTTCAGTTCCATTACAATTCCATTTCGAGTTTCCAACATTTAATGTAAAAGTTCCTGAGTCGTAGTCTTTGGTATATGGGTCAATTTCAATTGGTTCAGTGCATGTGAATTGTGCATTGAGTATTTGCAGTAATAAGAAAAGGCAAATAGCTTTCATGATATGTCTTCAGAGTTTTTCGAGCGATTTAAATAGACAACTCCTTTTAAAACAGAAATGCAGAGCTTTTTCATCAGAAAATTTTCTAATGGAAAAAATTCCCCTTCACCTTTTTTTAAATTAAAAAAATCTTTTCTCAACTTTTCTTGTAAAAATATTCACTTAAATTATTTCTCGAATAAAAGATTTTTCACTGTCTTTTTCTTTTCATGTGATTTTTCTTACTCTTTTTCTTTGACATAATTTTTCTTTATTTTGTAATCCACTTATTTATATGGCACAACAGGATATTTAAAAAACTACCGACTAAATTTTTCTTTTCTGTTTTTTAACTTTTCAAACAAAAATAATAAAAGAAATGCTTTTATTGTAAATTTATTATAATTTATAATAGAATTATAGAATTCATTGGATTAACAAAAAATACTATATGTAATTATTCTTTATAGCATTTTTCATTTTTAATTTCAAATCGTTAAATTATATCGGACCTAAAATTCATTTTTCTTCTTGATTAAATGTTTCTCTTGACCAATATGTTTAGAAAAATACATCGCAAATAACAAGACACCAAACACACTCTAAAAATTACACAAACGATGCGAGGAGCTTTTGGAAGTACGGGTTTACATACACTGTAGGGCCATAGAGCCATGGGTGGATCAACATAGTCTCGGCAGTTAATCTTTTCTCGCAGTTCATTTTCAAGCACCCCAAAATGAAGTTTTTACACACCACTGAGATCACCCCCCACTCGTCTTCATCGAAGTTAACATCTCCAATTCTCATTTGTTGCAAGTTCTCCTCCAAATTATCGCCATCGAAAGGTTGATACCCACACATCGCCACAAACACGGAAATACCAACACACCAAATATCAACTCCACACGTGTAACTTTCTTTCTTCATTAAGATCTCTGGAGCAGCATACAACGCAGTCCCGCAAGGGGTATTCAGTCCTTCATCTCTGAAGTTCTTCGCCAATCCAAAGTCGATTAATTTGATATTAAGTTCCTTCTCGTCTGATATTAATATGTTTTCAGGCTTCACATCTCTGTGGCATATCCCATTTGAGTGTAAATAATAGAGAGTTCTTGCAAGTTGATACCCTACCCACTGCCCCTCTTGTTCACTTAATGGCTTCTTCATTATTCGCGCAAACAAACTCCCCGCGGTGATATATTCCATTGCAACGTAGATGTACTCTTCGTCCTCTAAAACATCAAATACTTGAACAACGTTCTCGTGCTTCAAATTTCTTGTGATCCCAATTTCCCGCTCTAAAGCCTCGCGGACTCTGTCGTCTATCAAATCCTTTTCAATCACCTTTAAGGCTTCTTCTTGTCCACTCTCACGATTGACAACTCGATGAACCACAGAAAAGCCACCACGGCCTACCATCTCTTTCATGTCATACACCTCTTCTATATTACACGGGCGTGCATACACAAATGGGTTCTCAATATGTATGGCATCCTTTTTATCTATTGTTGGAGTTTCGGGACGATCAACTGGTACCTTTTCTGCGCTTTCTGAGTCCGAATTTTTGATGACAATTTCATCAGAGTCATCAAACTCCGGGGATGGAGATAACTTTGGTGATCGTGGAGAACCCAAGTGTTCCGGTGATTTGGGTACTTCGAATTTAACTTCTTTAATGAGTTGAACATCTTTCTTTTGTTGTTGTGTTGGTTCGACTACATTGTTTGGCTTCTCTTCTTGTTGCTCTGAGACTAAATCAGAGGTGTGTCGTGAACTAAAATTTGAATTAAGTAAAGTGCTTAATTTAAAATTTTTCTCCTTTTTGGTCTTTTTGGTCGACTTCTTCTTCGGTGGAGTTACTGGACTTTTCTCCTCTTTTTTGACTTCCATTTTTTCTTCGTGTTTTTCGACTTGTAATTTTTCATCTTTTTGTGGTTCGACTATTGGAGAGCCAATTTCATGGAGTTGTGCTTTGTCACATTTTGCTTTCAATTTTTCCAAATCATCACTTTGAGCAGTGCGTGGGGATTTTGCTCGTGGAGACTTTGGTTTATCTTTTCCAAAAGAAAGCAACTGTTTTGTTCTTTCCTCTCCTTTTAAGTTTTTCAGTTGTTCTCTGTCAGCAGCAGACAACGTGACAAAAGACCTTGAGAGTAATTTGTTTTTCGATATTTTGTGTTTATCCAATTCAAGGTCTTCAAGAGTCTTTCCTCTTTTAATTGGTCTCCAAACGGGCTTTGAGTTCTGCACCTTCGTTTGCTCCAACACAACTTTCTTTTTGGTCAGTTTCAGTGAGGTTTGACTCTTCATCAACGATGCTATTTGTGACGCTGTTTGTTCAATTTCCTTCATTTTCATATCATCCGTCTTGTTGACTTCCATAAGTTTCAAAAAGCCGACAGAGTCTGGGATGGTTATACAGATTCTCTTTGCGTTCTTGTGATCCACAGTCCACCCATTGTCTATAAGATGCTTGAACCTTGTGAAGTTTGATTCTACTTTATACTCTGGAGTCACTTGGCGCCTGTGCATCTAATATAGGAATTTTTATAGTAACTAGTTCTGTCGTAGTTCCAAACTGGTTTTTATTTACCTTTTTCATCTTTTTGGTGGTGTTAACATTTACTTGCTATTTCTGGTTACTATCAAATAATAAATTTTAATATAACTTTTTATATTTTATTAGAAATGTTATTTACTGTTGTCAATTTGTTTAATTATTATATTTTCAGCTAAAAATAAGAAATGCTTCGTTATCTTGTATTTACTAAACAAACCGTTTCTAAAGTCCCATTTTAAAACACTTCATTTTCTGTTGGAGTGGTGTTGAAAATTATAAAGTTTTTACTTCGCAATGATAATGTGCTTACTATTTAATGCTTTTGCTAAGTTTAGTCTTATTTTCACATGTAAAATGGCAAAAATGATATTACATTTTTGCCTACTTTTTGTATCGTGGATTCGAGTTTGTTTCAGAATGTAAAAATAGTTTATTAATTATATGATTAACCAAAAGTTTTTAATTAGTTCAAGTAATTTCGAAACTAAAAACTGTTTTAAATAATATCATCATGAAATACTAATTATAAAAGCGATAAAATAATCAATCAGAATTGAACAAATTACTGGTACTAATAGGGTTTTATTCGATCACAACAACTTCTCTGTTCTTCGGGTGTTCGAGCTTTTTACACATTGAAGCCTTTTTTTGTGCGACCAATTTCTTAGTTTGTTCTTTCAGTAATTTATTTTCCAATGAGAAAATTTGAAACGTTTGATCTTCGATAGTGTTGTTCAGATTATGTACAGAATGCATGCTGTCAATAACTTGTTTTGAAATTTGTATCTGTGCCCTTAAAAATTCGGTTTGCGCCACCAACGACGCGTTCTTCTTTTGTACCTCTTGACATTCTTTCATCACCTCTCTGTATTTACTTTCCAAAGACAATGGGCTGTTGGGTGGGTGCAACCCACCCTCGAGCAGCCCGAACAGTCCCGATAATTCGTCCTCCTTTCCTTTTTGTAACTTCAGGAATAGTTAAAGTGACAACAAACTTTCGCGCATCTTCTCTTTTTGTTTTCGCATTGTGAGAATAATTTTGTAGGTTTCCTTTATCATGTCATCCGTCGTAAAATCGGGTGATTCTTGATTCTCTAAACTACGCTTATTTGTTCCGTCATTCCGTTTCGACATCTCATTTTGTTGTTCTTTTTTTTCAAAAAACGGATTATAGTTAATTTTACCAATTATTTAATATATCAAAAAATGAAAGGATTGTGGTAATTTGACAATGTTAAATTGTTCAACCCAATGAAAAAGGCACCATCACACTATATAATCACGCTGAAAACTCAAAAATACATATGGCCAAGCTTTATGTTTTTCAAGATAATAGTTATTGCATTATTTAAATTCATGAAGGTTGTGTTTAATATTAAAGTCGGTCTTTTGTGAAAGAAAGTTCAACTTATTTTTTTATAACGAAACAAAAAATTTGAGATGAGATTGGGAGTATTGATTCACTCAAAAGTTAGTAAGTCGGCATCTTTTGTTTTTTTATACAGAAGTTGAAACATTTTTATTTTATAGTTTCACTGAAGGTATTTGAATAACATTTATTAATACTGGATCTGAAATGGTATAGTGAATTATTATTGATACAATTTTTGTATTAACAAAATAATCAAATGAATTTTAAAATTGTATCATTTTTTCAATATTCTATTTTCTAAAATGGGATTATTCGTATAACAAAATTATAGTATAAATATTAATCAATATATTAACAATTATAATAAAATTATTATCAATATAGAATTGGTTATAACATTTGAAAATTACTAGTTTTCACTTTATTTTTTTAGGTTCAATTTGTTGATTTTAAAAAGCCAAAAACGAAAAAAAAAATGCCATAAAATGTACTTTTATGTCCATTATCTTCTGCCCTGATTCACCAGAACTTCAATTCCCGAAAAAATATCTTAAAAACGTCCAAAACCATCATCAAATTTAAATAAAAAATGTTTCAAAAAATGATTATAACGATATTGTAGCAACAAATGTACCACACTTTCGGGACATTTACAAATGATATAAAATTGTTTTTTGGCGTTGAATTTCCTAGTAAAACGGGTGAATTAGAAACACAAGACAAGAATAGAAGTTTACAAATAATACAAACCCCCGATGTTTTACGAATTGAATATGGACATTTCCATTCTTTGGATAGAAAAATCAAAAGTTGAAATAAAAAGACACCAATCCATTTAATCCATAATCAGAACAAAAGAATGGGAAACGACGTATGTAAATTACCACCAGAACCACAACGTGAAACACCACAACCACTTAAACACTCTAAATTGCAGGATGTTGTTGTGCTGGATGATGAAGTAGACTTGAAACTGGATGACCAGAGTTTGTTGGATAAAACACAAAAGGAAGAAGCTATTCCAATTGATAAAGGCAAAATTAAAAAGAATCCGTCAATGGAGAAACTTAAAAATGTCGCCAGAAAGAGTCTCGACAGTTTCACGAAACTCGGTTCTGTTATTGAAAGTACTCATTTTGATACAATGCCAGTCAAGTGCATTTATGGGTCAAACTAATTTGTTTATATTCATTCCTTAAATGTTTTTGGTTGTTTTTTAACACTGTATAATTTTTTTGTATTTAATAACTTTTAGAATTATAGTAATTTTAATAGTTATAAAGTAATTAGATTTTAATTTAATAGTATATTTGATATTTAATTTATTTATATTATATGTAAACTATTTTCAATAATTACAGATTTAATTATAATTATACTAAAACAATAAATACCATTTGTATTATAAATTATATTATATTTTTGCTTATTAATAATTACTATATGATATAATATTGATATTAATAATTTCAAGTATTTAATATTACAAACATCTCAAAATTTGATTAATTGTTTTTATGTCAACATTGCAAAATTTTTTCATTTCTATTGTTGTCCGATACACGCCATCATTCAAAACGATCCAAAAATTAACAATGGTATCGAAAAAGTGTGGCGAGGTTGTTTTGTTTATGAAAGTAAACCCATTTGCACTGAGTAGACAAAAGGCAAACGATCCGTTTGACCAGTTCAAAAAGGCAGAGGAATTTAAAAAAGAGGTCGAATTGTATCAGAATCTTCAAACGGTCAGAGTCTCTGGAAGACTTTTATCCTCCTGCAAAAACATTCTGGAGAAATATGACAACATCTTTTTAACAGACTCATTTTCAGACCAGTTTTCAAGCTGCTTTTGGGTCTTAAATAAAATTGTCGAGCTGAATGTTTTTGTAAGAGAGGAATGCTTTGACGTCTCGAGGTGTAAATTTCTGAGGGTTTGTCGTATTGAGTTTCAAAATGTGTCTTGCTGGGAAAACTGCTTTTCTGACGTTGGTCAAAAGTTGAAACTCCTACGCATTAAGTTTTCTCCAAATAGCGCCGATTTCCAGTTTTTGGAAAAGCTCAAGCAGTACGAGAGGTTTGAAAAGATCATATTGCAGGTGTTGGGAGGCGATATGTATTACAAAGAGCTTCTTTCACAATTAAATGTTATTAAGAAAGAGATCCATCAAAACGATGAGAAGAATGTTATTCCCAAACGTGAAGTGGTTGTTTCCTGTGACTGTTTTTGCGACACAACAGTGACACTTATTCCTTTTGAACGGCGGTGGGTTCTTTTTGATGTGAGTCAACATGGGTTTGATGTTTTGTTGAAACAAATGTTTCCTGTCAGTGTCTTTTTGTACAATTCAGACAACTCAAAAACAAGAGTTAATTTGTCGTCTCTAGATTTTTTAGAGCAAGTTGTTTGCAATCAAAATTCCATAGAAATTGATTTCCCACAACATTTATGTCCTTTGAAAAACTCGCCTTTCAATGCCATTCGTTCTGACACCGACTTCTCATTGTATCAATCTCATCATCCCGGGATTGTCGTGATTGATGAAAAGAAAAAAACGAAATCACCAAAATTCGAAAAAGTTTCTATCAAAACCAAAACGATTCTTGTCAAAAACAAAAACATCGACGTTCAAAAAAATTCAGTTGTTGAATCTTTGAGTTTAATCAATTCTCAATTAAAGTCCGTAAATGTTCCTTCCTTAAAAGAGATCATTTCTGACACTCAACTCCCCTCTCTAAAAACCGCAAAATTTACAGATCTAGTTGTCAAAAACTTCCATAATTTTTCATCTCATGATTTAGAGTGCCACACCACTTTGAAACATTTACAGATTGAAAACGTCAAAGTTGACTTTTTGCAGTTCCATCCGATAAAAACATTAGAAAGTGTGACACTTCAAAACGTAGAATGTGAATTACTTACTCTTCCCAAAACCACTCACTTTTTGACTTTAGTGAGATTTCACAATCACAACTCTAAAATTGACTTAGAAGATTGTGATCTCGACACACTCCAAATTCATTCCTGCAAGTCAGTCACCCTCATTTTGGGATCCGTCAACTCTTTAATCACATCATTTTCCACTATACACTTCTCGGACTTCCCCTTTCAAACAGTCAAATCGTACCACTCGGACTTCCCCTTCGACAACTTCCAGAGACAAAACAAGGGGATACTTCCCATTGTAAATTAAATTTAATATTATAGTTATGTTATTATAATTATAACTTCCCTCAGAAATCAAGTGTATCATCACATAGTGTAGTACCTGTATGCATAATTAAATGCTAATTCAGACTCTTACTCATCATTGGGAACATTCAACCGATTATTTTGTACTAAGTAATTATAATCCAATTCAAATCAATTTAAGTTCTCGTCCTTTATACAATATATCGTCTAAGTTATCTATGATATCGATTATAATGCTATGTGTTGTTTTGTATCGCTGAAGTTCCTCTTCACTCATATCATTAATGCCACACTGCACAAGAACTACTGCAACATAGCCTTTCCATACAATCCCCCTTAATAAATCTGCTCGTTCCAACACCTCTCTCATTTCAATCTCAACTCGTTTCGTATAGTTATTTTTATACTTCTGAAAAACACCATATGACGTTGAACAAACGTTCACTTCAAGTCCATCACTTCGATTTTTTTCGTCTTGTGACAACTCCTCTCGTTCCGAATTTAAAAAATTGACAACTATGTTTTCCAAAACACTTTCAAATTTTCGACTCAAAATCTTTGTTTTTTCTATCCAATCTTCGTATATTAACAGAACATTTTGATACTCTTTTTCGTTTTGTTGTTTCACAAAAAGTTCGTGTTGTTCACTCTCAATCTTGACCTTCTCAAATTTCCGATTTGTCGCTTCAGATCGTATTGTCGGAAAGAGGTCTCCATATTTATCATCAAGATCCGACAACGCAGTGATTGACCAAAGTCTCACGCAATCCACCTGCATGGCACGTGCAAAAATGTCATGAATACGTGGCGCCACAAGTTGTTTGATAGTCTTGCTTTTTTCGAAAAGAAAAAAAATTAATTGGAAATAAGAACGCGTTTGTGTGATCGAAAGTTTTGACATCAAGAACTCAAAAACGACTTGACAAAATTTGGTGTCCGCCTTACAATACTCTTGGACGATTGAAAAATCACGAGAGGAAATGTTCAAATCTACCATATCGATTAATCGGCCGACAGACCATTTTAAAGTATTAACAGCAGTGAGGGTGTTAATTGGAATGCTTACATGGCGTGACATCGCTGCGTCAATGTTTGTAATTGGAGGTTTTAAAGTTCTTTTGAAAAATGATATTTTATTAACATAATTATAATTTATAAATAGTAAATTGAAAAATAAAATGATTATAATAACTATTTTATTAATCCTTAGTTATATAATGTATTACTTATTATTATATATTATAGTATTATATTTATAAAATTTCTAAATAATAAATTATTAAATAATTATTAATTTTTTTAATACAGATAAACTATCGAAATGTGTTTTATAAATAGTGACCTAAACGAAAAAATAGACTGATATTTTTTTGACTGTTTATAAATAGAATGACAATAAACCTTTATTTGACACTTTGAATAACTCTTAAATAAAACAAATTTTATATTATTAATTTTATAAACCAGTATTATGAGTTTATCATCTCAAAAAAAAACTTGTGAGATTTTATTTAATAGAATTCGTTTAACAATAGTACCATTTGTTAATAGTTGATAAATTAGTAAAATTATTATTATTACCAACTTCCAAAAAGATAGAAGCAATCAATTGAAAACAGCACTTTTAGTACTCTATCGTTTTTGACGATCCAAATTACTAGTAAAAAAATTATAACTTCCCAAATCATCATTATTAAATTGACAAAATGAAGTGTTTGAGATGATTGAACTGACGGAATTAAGTCAATGTCAAGCGAGCAGAGTGGCTCATTAGACAAGAAGCTATCATCGAAAGAGAAGAAAGAGCAAAAGAAGCAGAAGAAAGACGAAGAGAAGCAACGCAAAGAAGAGGAAAAAGCACGCAAAGAGAAAGAGAAAGATGAGAAAAGGCAACAAAAATTACTTGAAAAGCAAGCTAAACAAGGGTCCAAGCACACGCATCTCTCACAATCACAATCTCAACCTGTCGACAAAAGTCATCGCCGTTTCACAATCTTTTCTTTTAAAAAATCTTCAAAGTCACTCAAAAAGAGTTTAACCCCCGAGCTTTCACCTACATCACCTCAACAACCTCAAGCTCCACCTCTTTCACTCCCAATGAGTCCTTCAATGGCATCTCCTGATACACGCGCTGAGATTTTATCAGCTTCTGAGCGCACAGATTTATCTCACACGACCACTCAACAAACTGACTTCATACTTCCTTCTGACGTCTTAAAACAGATTCTCGCGATCACAACGACGCTCGAGAAGGTATTCAATTTCACTGTATTTAGAGAAGAACTTGATTCATTCCGATTACTTAATATCACACAAATACAATTTATGGGGAAGGACATGTATCTCAGAACACTCCCTGATGTCATTAATTTGTTGCCGCTGATATACAATAAAGAATATACAAGACAACTCCTCTTTTATTCACACGAATTTGAACCAGAGAAGATCCTCTTCTTACTCGTCGAGTCCTTTTTAAAAACTTTGGATGGCAATAAACCACAGCGAGAGAAGTACTGCTCAAACTGTATCAGAGTATTCACTGCGTGGTTCACTACACGTGACGACGTCTTTACTAATTCGTCGTTGTTGGAGTTATCAAGAAACTTTCTTGTGTTTTGCAGAAAGCAGGCACAGAAGGAAAGTTTCTTGGGAGAACCGTTGGACGAGGCAGAACGATGTTTGGAGGAGGTGTTTACGTCGAAAGGGATTGTCACGTTCAAGAAACGGCTTGTTGTTGATCAAGAGAAGAAAGACGAGTTATTTGATGTGATCACCGTGATGGATGAGAGATGTTTTAATATGATACCGGAACAACTTGCGCTTGTCGAATTCGACTTTTTGACGAAATTAAACCCACACGACTATTATGTGTACTTGGATAATGACACAAAGGTGACTTCTAAAGTCAATGGGTACATCTTTTGGCACGACTTATTAACACACTGGTTTGTGTATGAAATCGTCCGACAAAAGACTGTGGAAGACAGGTACAAATGTATTCAGACACTCTTTAAATTATCACTTGGACTCATTAGAAAGAAAAACATCAATTCGTTGACCGCGTTGGTTGATTCATTTGACCACCAAGCAGTGAGGAGACTTGCAAAGACGTGGGAGAAACTAACAAAAGAAGAGTGGGGTATCTACTCCGACTTAAAGTCTGTGAGGAACAACATTGCGAAGAAGAACGCATCAATCACTTTGCCACCTCCTTGTGTTCCAGACTTCCGTTTGTTAATTAAAGTGTTATTGTAAGTCACTCAACTATAACGTATTGGAATTGCACTGAAAGATAGAGCAACAGATAAATCGAATGCAAGACATGAAGAAGGGAAAGCGAAATGGACAAAACGAGGAAGAGACAAGAGATATGATCGACTTGGCAACACACGCACGGATAGGAGCAGTCATTGACGTGTTAGGGACTTACGCGTCGGGAGGAAATTACAAAGAAAATAAACAAATGTGCGAATTTTTCTCCGCGCATTTACAAACAATGCCACTCGATGATTCTCAATTGCTGAACTCGTCGCTGCTCGTGGAACAGCCCGAGTAAACTTGTTATAGAACTTGTAGCAATTATTCTAAGTAATGTGAATAACAATTTTTGTGTTGAAAATGTTTTTCGGTTTTTAAAAAACATTTCCTTTAAATTGGCCTTGCATGTGATTAATTTACTATAGTTATAGTTGTTTAAAATTATAAACGATTAATTTACTCTTTTGATTATTTTGAGGTTATGATTTGCGGGTGAAGTTTCATTATAAATTTTCTCAACAATTTTTCTTCGACGTTCGACATTCTTATTTTTATGATAAGAAATAAATTATTAATCATGATAATGTAGTTTATATAAATATATGGTAAAAAAAAACTAGTTAAGTGGTGAAAACACAAAAAAACGATTTCTAAAAATAAATGCTTTAATAATCAAAAATTGACCTATTCCAATAATACGATTATTGGAAATAGTAAAATTATGGTTTAATTATTACAAATTACAATTAAAAACATGGGAAAAAACTAGAAAAAAAGATAAAAAGCAAAGAACGTTACTTATTTTCTAAAATAGATAAAAAAACATCTATATATTAGGACCAAATATACTATCATTTCGGGCAATTTGTTTTGAATCGAATAATAAATTTCATAATAATATCACAAAAATAAAAAAATGAATGAAAACGTCCGTTATAAACACATACCCGTCAAAAATGGATTGAAATTATATACGAGTAATAAAAATATTATAAAACATGGAACGATTATTGATTAAAGTTTTGAGAAAAATGGTAGCAACCAATATCAAACACCAGACTTCACCAAAAAGGTGAAGTTTGAGAAGAATCTCATCTCGATCAAAAAAGGCGGAACGACGGGACATTTGGGGACAAAAAATAGGAAATTCAAGGAAAGGAAAGGAAATTCCAAATAAAAACTGGCAAAAGAACTAGCAAATCACTTGAATACTATGGCAGCAGCAAACAACACTACGGCATTCAGATTGGTCATGTTAGGCGGAGGAGCCGTTGGGAAGTCCGCTATCACTGTCCAGTTAGTTTCTGGCCACTTTGTCCAGATCTATGATCCAACAATTGAAGACTCATACAGAACTTCTATTTCGGTTGATGGGGAGATGGTTTCCCTTGATATTGTTTGTTTTATTTATTATTGAGTTATTCATACTTGTTCCAATATATCTTGGACGTTTTCAAGTCAAGGAATTGACAAAATAGCTCGACACCGCTGGTCAAGAAGAATACTCTGCACTGAGAGATCAATATATGAGATCGGGTGATGGATACGTTATAGTCTATTCCATTACATCTACAACTTCATTCCTTGAGGCTAATGGATTCAGAGAGCAATTGTACAGAGTTTTGGATAAGGACATGGCAACAGAACACGTTTCTATTGCTCTTTGTGGGAATAAGTGTGATTTGGAGTCAGAGAGACAGGTCCAGACTTCTGAGGCCCAAAAGTTGGCGGACGACTGGAAAGTTCTTTTCTTCGAAACCTCTGCAAAGAATAAAATCAATATTAGCGAGACTTTCCAGGCCCTTGTGAAGGATATCAAAAAGAACGCAGTTGCTGCAGCACCAGTTGCTACTGACGATAAAGCCGATGCTGGCAAGAAGAAGAAGGATAAGAAAAAAACAAATTGCACAATGTTTTAAACTTTGTTTTTTAGCGTTTTCTTTAATACTTTTAACAGAACAATCTAAAGTTTCTTAAAAATACACAAATATAATTCAATAACAACTTATTACCTCCTTTTTGAAAACTTTTTGTTTCTACAGATTAGATAAAAAATATTTTTTTTATTGGATAAATAAGTATAATTGGAACTAATAATAAAAATATACTTTTTAGAGAATTGTTGTTTATAAAATTAATTGAAACAAAGTTTTTTTATTAAAAAAGGATTTATTCAATTATTATAAATTTTAGTATTATAATTTATAATTAAACAAAATCTTTAAAAAAACAAATTAATTTAAATTAAGATAATTATGAGATAGTAAATGAAACAATGAAATTCAATAAAAAAATAAAAAATCTAGAAAAATTGAAAAATTGAAAAAAGTGAATGAGTAAGCAGAACGACTACGAACAAATAGATAATGTCGAAGAGGAAGAGATGTTAACACAGATCGATCCAAATGATAAAAGAAAAATGGTAAACGTTGCGTTTCGTATGCCGACTGGTGGGACTACCAAATCTCGCTTTGAAGTGACGTGTACTGTGAAAGACTTGTTTGTCTTTTTAGAAGAGAACCATTTGAAGAGGAAAGACGTTGAGATTCTTCATCCACTAAAGAGAGTCCCGTTGAAAGATGAACGAGTGAAACTTGAAGAGTTTTATCCTTCAATTTTATTTCATGTTGTTATGAAAAAGAAATTGGGAGAAGTCAAAGAGGCAAAGCCTCATCAAAGCCAACAACAGCCGCCTGCAAGATACCTTTCGGGTGAGAGGTATGTCGATCCAACACAAACAATACAGGCGCCCGTTCAAATTCAACAGGAACAAATGTATCAACAACAGCCACAACAACGCCAACAACACGTTCAACCCGAACCTCCACCTAAAAATAAGTTTTTGAGGTTTATGAAGGGGTTTTTTACAGGGAAGTGATTTGTGTGTTTGTCTGTCGGTGCTTTGCTTGATGGCATCTTGTCTCCTTCGATTCAAGTGTTTTTTGTTTTTCTTGGAATACCAAATTCATTGTATCGTTGTATGTACTAAAAATTTATAATTCGTATCTTAATATTTTTTTATAATTGTGAATATAATACAGTTAATTATTAATTGTTTTATTGCTTTTTTTAATAGATATTGATATTTTATGTATAATATAATATAATAAATATATTATTATATAATTTATAGAAAATAAAAAAAACTTTTAAATTGATAAAAAATACAAATAATTTTGGTAATTTGGAAAGTATTGCAATAATTGTTATATTCATATAAAATATAATTATCTTTTTGATTTAAAAAATTATTAAAATCATTAATAACAAATTGTTAAATCTAAAAACATTAAAATAAACAGTCAAAATGAATGATAAAATAGTGTTTATGTAAATTTGATGTGCAACAAATAAAAACATAAAAACAAGTGTAAAGACAGGCCATTCACAGACTTTGACAGACAACAAGTGGCTGTGTAAATCATTCATTTGATCATTTTCATTTTTCTTTTGTTTTTGACAACAAAATACACATCATTTTTATTAGTTTCTAAATAACTTTTCAATGGTACATTTTTCAGTAATCAACTCTCTTGTCGTTTTATTCAAGTAAAAAAAATGCGAAAAAATGTTTAAAAATTCAACAAATATAATTTAAATTACTATTGAAAACTAACTATTTTTTTATACAAATGAAAAAGACAAAAGTGTTTGAAAAATGATACTAATAATGAAGTTAAGTGTTTATATTAATAAACCCGTATTAATACTATTTTTAATACTAATATTATTAATAAAATGTTATTTTATATAATTCTAATTTTTTGAAATTCATCAAAACAAAAAAATTGTAACTCAATTTAAGTTTATTTTTTTTGGAAACAAAGAACAAAGACAAAAATAAGGGACCATGCCACAACTCAAAAGGATGTTTACTATTTTTAGACGTGTATCAAACACTAACTATATATTATATTACAAATTATTCTATATCAAATTGAATTGTATAATATTATTAGAAGATAGCCGCTTTGGTCCGTTTTTTCATCGAAAAAAATTGACTGTTTTGACTATTCCTACTTGATTACATTAATTAAAGCAAAACAATTCAAAATGATACCACCACTATAAATATTCAGTGTTATTTGAATTAAAAGGTAAAAAAAAACAAAAAAAGTCCAAAATTTTTGATGATTTTGATCGTCTGTATTGTCGAGTAATTTCCTGAATAAAAAGAAACCTACTTTCCACTAAAATCAAATGATCTCAGCCGCTCTCGTTACCGTTATTCTCATATGTGCAGTTCTTTACATCCTTCGACCAAAGTCCTATGACAAAGCTAAACAAGGGGAGTGGATAGGAGAAGCCAAGGAAGGTGAAACAAGAGTCCTGAGAGGATATAAAGGTATTGAAAAACTAACAGACTATACCCCACAAGGTAATGAAACTATAGCAGACTTGGTCAAAAGTTTTCAAAACAAAAACAAGAGCGAATTTATTGGGTACAGAGAGTTGATCAAGCAAGTATCTGTAAACAAGATCACATCAATTGTCGATGGTAAAGAAGTTGTCAAAGAGCTCTTTAAATACAAGATGAGTGAATACAAGTGGATTTCTTCATTAGAGTTTTATCACATGATTTGCAGATTATCATCGGGCCTGAGGAAAATGGGATTCAAAAAGGGTGACAAAATTGGGATCTTTTGTGAGACTCGATATGAATGGATGGCTTTTGCACTTGCGTGTGCAAGACAGGGGATAGTCTTAGTCACTGTTTATGCAACATTAGGAGAAGAGTCTGTAAAAATAGCACTCAAAGAAACTGAATGTTGTGGGCTTATCGTCTCTTCAGAGACTATAACTAAGTTAAGCAAGGTCCTTCCAAGTGACCAAACGATAAAAGTCATTTCAGTTGACACAACAACGGAGAACTGCTTCACATTTGAAGAGTTGAACAAATCGGACGAAGACGAAGTCAACACTCCAAGTGTATCCAGTGAAGATGTTGCCTTCATCATGTACACTTCTGGTACAACAAAGAATCCAAAAGGCGTTTTAGTTGGTCAAAAGCAGATTCTCTTGTTAGCCAAGCCATTTTTCGATTCATTGAACTTCTCAGATGAAGTCTTCATTGCGTATTTACCTCTAGCACACATCTTTGAGTTGTGTATTGAGTTTGCAATTATGTCATATACAGGTACTCTGGCATATGGCAATCCACGCACGTTATTAAGTGTTGGATGTATTGAATGTGACTCTGATATAGTCGCTCTCCAGCCAACTCTGATCATAGGTGTGCCCACTGTTTTCAATAGAGTCCGAAAAGCTGTTTTAGAGACGGTAGGGAAAGCACCAAAGTTGAAACAAAGGCTCTTCTTTACAAGTCTGTCATTGAAGAAGAAACTGAGCTTTGACTACAACTTACAAACGCCGTACTTGTTTCAACCACTTGTAAGTTTGATTGACCATGTCGTGTTCAAACCCCTCAAAACGACTTTATTTGGTAGTCGTTTGAAGGCTATTGTAGTTGGTGGTTCTGCTCTCCCTGTTGAATTGCAAGTTTTTCTCACGACAATACTGCCTTGGACTGATGTGATGCAAGGGTTTGGGATGACTGAATTGTGCGGTGCTTCAAGTTGTATGCCACCAAAGGACTGCACTACGTCCACTATTGGATTGTTGTTCCAAGACTATGAAGTAAAACTGAGAGACGTCCCCGAGTTAAATTACTTGACTTCATCACACCCTCCAAGAGGAGAATTACTCATTAGAGGCCCACCAGTGTCCAAAGGATACTTCAAAAGACCTGAAGAGACTAAACAAGGATTTACAGAAGATGGATGGGTGTGCACTGGTGATATAGCACTTATCACTGAAGACCATCATATATGTATTATAGATAGAAAGAAGAATATAGTGAAGCAACCCTGTGGCGAGTATATCTCTTTGGAACTTATTGAGTCCTGTTATTCCACGTCACGAGTTGTAGATACAATCTGTGTCTTTGCAGATGCTTTCCATGACTTCACAGTTGCTTTGGTGTTGCCAAATAAGAATATTATCAAGGAATTAACTCAAAAGACCTTTGAAAAAGCTTGCAAGGACATGGACGTGACAAAAAGCGTGCGGAAGATAATGGAGGAGAACGAAGGTGGGATGAGCAATAAAGAAAAGATCAAACATATAGCATTGGTCTCGGATGAGTGGACACCAGAGAACGAAATGCTTACAGCAGCACTTAAGCTTAAAAGGTCGAGTATATCTACTAGGTATCAAGTTGTCATTGAAAGTCTCTATGCTCGTAATTGATTTGATATTAAACTTCTGATCTTTTTATCTTATGTTAAGAACAAAAAATGTGGTAATGGTTCTAAATTAGAATCTAAGAGAATATTTTTTTATTTAACACTTTCAAAACAGAAAGGTAATAATAATAAGTTTTTATTTTTTTCTTTTACCTAAACCCCTTTTTTGCCTTCATACACAAAACAAATTTTTGTTAATTTCTATTTATTTTTTTTATCAACTCAAATTTGAATTGTATATTTTATAGTCACACAAATAAACAATAATGAGTTTATTTATGTTAAACAAGAGCAAAGCATTAGAAAGAAAAATGGGGTCTAATGATGGTTTGATATTTTTGGTTGTTTTTTATTTAAAAAGTATATTGTCATTTGATTATAACGAGAATGATGTTTATATTGTCGTTATATTTGTTAGTGTGACTATTTGACATTGTATGTTATTTAGTGGATTGATGATGTAGTGGTTTTATAATAAATGTTGAAACATTATAAAGTGATATGAAATTTCATCCAAAAAGATTATTTTTGATCAATCTTAGGTAATTGAGTTCTCATTTGTTAATTGTTTTAAGTAAAATAAAACTGACTAATGGCCGGTTTAAATTAGAAGGGGGTTTTTGAATAAAAAAAAATGGACAATTTCTTTTTTACTTATTTTTTTTTTTCTTAAAAAAAGTTTTGGGTTGTGAAAGTGTTAAAGTGAAATTAAAATGATTTATTGACACATAAAAGTAGAGTCAGTCTTTTTACGCCATCTAAAGGACAAAAAATAGCTTTAATTTTGTTTAAACATCAGGCATTAGGTAATATGTGAAAAAACCCGAAACAATTGTAATAAATGTTTGCGATGGCTTCCCGAAATATTACAAATTTAATGGTATAAAAGATACCAGATAAAGTTAAAAGACACTATAATTTAATTTCTTTCACTAACTTCAAATTCGTAACTAAAAATTATTTATAAGGAAGTAAAAGAAAAAAACACCATTCTCCCATTTTTACATATTTTTGAACTTAAATTATCGTTACATGTTTTATTTATATATAAACGGGATAATACAATATTATTTTATCATTCCATATATTAGGCATATTTGATAAAGGTAAATCACTCGACACTTTGTATTTAATAATTTGATAAAACGGTAGTTAGCTTTTTATTTATTATTATAGAATTAAACAGTTACAATATAAAGTTAACATTAATAAAAAGTAATTTGAATAAATAACATGTCAAAGAAATACAAAAGTAAACCAGCATTTCTTTTACTTCTCAAAAAATACCAAAATATCAAAAAAGCATTACTACTAAATTTGTAACACGAACTTGATAAGCCGATTTTGACATGACCTCGGTCGACTACATTGTGTGCTGCATTGGAAGTGGAGCTGTCGGAAAGTCTTCGATAACAATCAGGTTTTGTTATAATAGATTCAGTGGGAGTTACGACCCCACATTAGAAGATTCATACAAGGGGCAGATAACAGTGGATAATACCAAATATTTCCTCAACATAATTGACACTGGTTTGTTCTCAGACTTAGCATATTAGATATATATAAAGGATCACAAATTTTAACAGTTTTGTTTAGTACAACCAACCTGCTTGAAAACTTTGGTCACAACAATTTAATGATAATTTGATTACAATTTAAAAATAATTGAATAACAAGCAGCGGGACAAGAAGTTTGTGTTCTTTTGGAGTGTACAGAAAACAAGAATGGTATTGATCTTATACTAAAATGTTTTGGAAATAACGTTTTAAACTGTAGGAATATGCTGGGGTGAGGGATTGTAACATGCGCGATGGAACAGGATTCATTTTGGTGTATTCAATCATTGACGAAAAGTCGTTCGAGGAAGTCGCCACGTTACATGAACAAATTTATCGGACACTAGACTTCGAGCCAGAAGAACAGAATGTCCCAATCGTGTTAGTTGCAAACAAAAGCGACTTGGAGAGTGACAGACAAGTGCCAAAAGAGTGTGGGGAGGACCTTGCAAAAAAATGGGGTGTTCCCTATTTGGAAGTCTCTGCAAAAGAAAACATCAACATTCGTCGCATCTTTGAGACTGTTGTGAAAGAAATGAAGAAGAAGCCAATCATTTCCGTCACAACCCAAAACGCCGCGGCGGCCCAGAAAGCGACCAAAGGAAAACACAAGAAAGGAAAAAAGTGTGTTGTAGTCTAAGAGCACAATATCATCACATAGCAATGTTAAGCACTGTAATAATTATAGTATAGAGTGTCCATTTGTCTGTTACTATATTTATAATTATATTCAACTATAAATATATTATATTATTTACCATTTAAAAATAGCAAAGACAATGAAAGAAGTGAAATGATGTTAGGGTAAGTAACCCTATTTATTTTTTATGTAATCATTTCATTCATGAAGTTATTCAGCAGCACAAAGAAGATCGAAATTAAGACGCAAGCGATTGAGAAAAAGGAAGAGAAGGTGAAAGTGACAAATTTAGAGACTTTTGATGGGTTGGGCATACACCCATTTATGCTGAAAACCCTCAACAATTTCAAAATCATCACCCCAACGAAAATTCAACAACTTTGTATTCCGCCCCTCCTGGAGTACAAAAATGTTATTGGAGGCGCGGAGACGGGCAGTGGTAAAACAGCGGCATTTGCATTACCGATTATTCACCACTTATCAGAAGACCCGTACACGGGATTTGCACTTGTTTTGACACCAACACGAGAATTAGCAATTCAGATATGTGATCAATTCAGAGTCTTTGGCGAGTCAATTAACATCAAAGTTGTTCAGGTCGTTGGAGGCGTCGACGATAATATGGTTTTAAAACTACTCGAACTCCGTCCACATGTTCTTGTGTCCACGCCGGGTAAATTAGTCTCGTTATTGGGAAACTTCCCATTCGGCTTTGCAGACGCAAAGTATTTTATTTTGGACGAAGCCGATCGACTTCTTGATGAAGCTTCTGGCATGTTAAACGACATCATAACCATCAAAAATAAGATGCCAAAGAATGTGACCTTTGGGCTGTTCTCTGCGACAACAGACACTATCCTCAAAAAGATTGAGCCGCTTCAGATCGATCCCCCTCCCATTATATTACGAGCGGGCATACAACAGAAGCTTCCAGAGAAGTGCCAACAATTGTACATGTTTGTCCCGGCTTACGCCAAACACACGTATTTGGCGTATGTTGCAAACAACAAAAAGTGTATTATCTTTTGCTCGTCCGTCCCCCGCACAGAGACGATATTTAGAATGCTGAAATCACTCGAATTTAAGGTGGCGGTGTTGCACTCAGTATTACCGCAACATGTCAGAGAAAGTAATTTGGCGCAGTTTAGAAGTGGGGAAGCCGATGTGCTTGTTGCTACTGATTTGGCGTCGAGAGGGTTGGACATCCCAGATGTACCCTTAGTCATCAATTACGATATGCCATGGACTGCAGAAGATTACATTCATCGGTCCGGGCGAACAGCTCGTGCGGGGAAACAAGGGCGGTGTATATCTATAGTCGATCAGTATGATGTTGATAGAGTCCATTTAATCGAATCGCAACTAACCATCACGCTGAAAAAATACGAAGTGAATGAAGCCGACGTTATGAAACTACTCACAAAAACCTCAAACGCCAAAGAAATTGCATTCATCTCATTGAAAGACTCCGAGATCATGAAGAAAGTGAATTTCGAGCGAAAAATGGGTCGAAACACCAAAGGATCACAACAGGCTGCGCATAAGGAAGTCAAGAAGAGGTTTAACTAAAGTTGATTGTTTTGTTTAATTGATCTGTTGTAACCTAACTGCAACAACTGTTAGATTAAATACTAGTTCGCAGCATCTACACATTTGTGTCGGCACATTGCAAGGCGGAAGAAGCATCTAAACAGTTAAGAGGACAGCAAACTGAGTTACAAGCATCACTTTTTGGAACTACAATGCGGTGAGTATCGGTGTATAGTCATATGGCAGACAACACAACAGGACCACCGTCGAGTTGCCCTTCTTGGAGAGCTTGTTTGACGTACGAAAAGAGTGTTGGGCTCTCTGATTTCATGACTGGTTGTGTGGTAGAAAAGTCGACCGACCTGGGTTGGTCAAGACTCATTCTCTCCGTCTCGACAGGAACGTCTTCGAAGCTATTATGAGAGATGTCGATAGTATGATTCACACGAGAGTCACACCCCGAAAGTTTCTTCTCGACGACTTCGAGCAAGTCGTTGTATGGAAACATCTCCGAAAATTCGCTCCACTCCTTCACTAATTGAATTGCCTTGATGGCAACGATATTTTTGTCTGTAATTTTCTTGAATGGCTGCTAATTAGTACCGAGAAATGACATTTTCTATATTTATAAGAAAGATGTTAGTATATTTATTAATAAGTGAGAGGCAAATGAATCACAAATACAAACCACCAAGAAAAGTACCTTCTTGTAGACCTCAACAAATTCGTTGAGGTGGAGCTGCTTCTGTAATTTGACCGACCTCTTCACGACGTATTGCATTAAACAAAGTGTGTTATACATCTCGACTTCTCCGAGTTTCAAGTGAGCGTATGCATTGAATTTCAAGGCAAGTTGGTTCTTAAGTGCTTCTGCACCTAGAGTATACTTCCCGACGGCTTTTAAAACGATTTTGAACTTGTTTTGGTTGAACCCAGTGTTTTCTGGAGCAACAGCTTGATTGATCACATCGGACAGCTTGACGCGCGACATTGTTGTTTGTAATTTGAGTTACGGCCTTTAAAAAGAGGGATTTTTTTCCTCTTTAGAACAACGGCAAAAAGGCTTTTTGGCGCTGTGAGTTTTTTCGTTTTTGAAAAGAAAAAAAAACTTTTTCCTTAGGAACAAAGCGAGTGTTTTTTTAAGAAAATAGGAAAAAAACAGGGCGCCTATTTTGAAATGCACTTTTGGTGATAAACGGCCGATTATGACAGAACTACATATTTTTGCCTTTTATAAATGGGGGTGTCAATTGACTCTTTTAATGGTTTTTATATTGTTCTTTTTATTATTTAAAACTACTGTTATTAGATAATCTTGTTCTGTGGACAACAAATTGTATTTTTCACCACTTTCTCTATTTTAAAAAATAAGTCACAGATCTTAAAGACAGCGACTTTGTCGTCTTAAAACCAAAACAAAACGAAGATAAAAGACGTGGTGAGTTAGTGGTTAATTAATAACAAAAATACTATTTTGTATATAGTTTGTGGTTATTGTACAATAAAAAGAAAGAGTTTTGCCTGAGGTGATACTAAAATAAGAAAAGTGTTGATATATTAAGGCAGTTTCCCGATAATGAGCCATTGTTGCAACTAATTGTATTGAATAATAGGAATTATAAAAAGTCTTTTAAAAGAGTTAAGAAGAACGTTTTGGAACCATAATTTAGCCGTCGCCCTCATAATTGGTTAATAGTATTTGATATCATAATATTATCAAAATAAGATGATTTCATTGATGAAAAGATAATGTACTATTAAATATAATATTTATATTATATATATAGTTATTAGTTGAAAATTAAAGTTAGTGATTGGTGTGATTGTTTATTTTCAAGAAAATCTTTCCCAGTCAATGAACCATTGTGATGGGTTTTAACATTCACAAAACGACATTGAAATTTTTTTGACCACATAAAACTAAACACAGTGGTTATTTTAATTATTGTGTGAATAGATTAAAAAAATTATTAATAACATTAACAAAATATTATAATTTTGGAACTTTGTTTGAAAAAAATAATATTATTATATTATGATTATTCTAATTATTATATTATTATCTGAATTACTCATCCAAAACATAATCGAACAACAACCAGGCGCTTCCAAAATAATTATTGCCGAAAATGTGGTATTATAACGTACGAATTTATAAGAGAAAATGAACATTTTGGTTATTAAATGGTGACGTGGGTAATTAGGATTGTGATTTTGGAAACCTCTGGCAACAACATTTATTCTCTAAATTCATAGTAAAATCAAATTAATTTTAACTAATAGAACTGATATACTATTTCTATAACATTTTATTATTTTTTAATTACCAACAACAACAATCACAATGATTTATCTTGAAGATAATTAAACTTTTATCTATGTTTTGGGTTAACACATATCAGAAATAAATATTAAATATTATATACTTTTTAATATCATTTATATACACATGAGACTATAATTTAAAAGTTTTTTAAATGCTTTTTATTATTATTTTATTATTATTTCATTAAAAAAGTCTAAATAAAGCAGGTTTGATTATTATTAGTCTTTTAATTAATTTTGTAGTTATTATTAGCTTTAGTTATTTAGAAATCATTAAACTAAAAAATAAGTTTAGTAATAGGAAAAATAAACGAGTTAAATAATACAATGAAATAGTATTAACATTTTGAAAAAAGACCAAACTAACATATATTTATAATAAAAAGTACTGCATTGAAATAGAACATCTCCATTCCAATGAATTGCTTTCCTTTTTTTTGAAAAAAAAACTTAAAAGAGCATTACGTGTGGTAGATGGAATTGTTCAACGAGCCCGATTTGACTCTGCTCGATGTTTTTATGTTATGGAAGACAACAACAATTCCTCGCGCTATAAACAAACCGGACAACACTGAGTACTTTTTTTGGAAAGAAGTTCTATGTATGACTAACGAGTACAACGAATACCTCACTCGAAAAGTCTTAACTGCACTTCATAATGAGTGGCTTTCATACTCCGAAGACTATAACTCAGTCAACACGGAACCTCAACCGAAGCAGAAACGTCGGAACAGTTTAGTTGATGACAAGAATGAATATAGTCCACCAGAGACTCCAATGCTTTCTGGCAGTTTTTCTATTCAACGGTCACGTATTAAGTCACACTCCTTAGGAAAACAAGACGAAGAAAGGGTAGTTCTATCTGCTCAACATATTCAACCCAAAGATAATAGAGAAACGCCAAGTCAAGTACAACCAGAATTAACATTGAAAATTACTAAGAAAATTGGTGTGTTAAAGAGCGTCGAAAGCTCTGTGAAGGTGACCCCGAAAAGCACTGTATTTGAGAAACAAATGAATGAAGTCAAAAATTTAATTCCAGTTTCAATATCAGCAGATCAGTTCAGTCGATCGTTTGTCAATCCTAAGAATGACACTACTGAGTCCGACAACAACGAGTTATTAGTCTTCTCTTCTCTTACACATTCGTTGACACCTTCGGCTTTCCAGACAACTTCAAGACCAAAAATGCCTTCGAAGAACTCCATAAAGAGTAAAAGCTCCGAGTCAATCACTTTCTCCTTCGACTCCGAGTTGGTTGCTCGCGGCGAAATCGCGTTACGAGAGAGGAAGAAAATATTCAAACCAACGTTATCAAAAACACCACAAAAAGTGTATTTACATGGCTCACCGCGAGATACAGAGAGTTCTGACACCGAGTGGAAACTCATTGAAACGAGAATTCAAAGAAAGGTGAAGCGCTTTGAGATCCAAGTCAATGGTCGCGATGTGCGGAGTGAGGACTTAGTGGAAAGGTACTTGAGAGGGAAGTTACAAATGATTAAGAGCGAAGGTGGTGGACTACGGTTTGAAGTCAATTCGAGGTGTGAAGCGGTGTCGATAGGAAGTTTGTCGGAGGCATTACAACACAATTGGATTGACCGATTTGTGGAGAAACAAGAGGAGTACTTCCAGGATATGACGATATTAATGCGCATCTATCTGAACGCGTTGAGGCCTTTTTGTGATTATAGGAGCTGTGGCCCATTAGCCATTTCTGCGATGAAATCGTTGGACAAGAACGTCCCTCCGCTCATAGTATTGGAGCGACGTGTGATGCGAATTTTCACGAAGCGCAAAAACGTCGAAGATGTTGTTGAGTGTATTGGGTGGTACGGGAAAGAGTTTTTGTGTTACGAGTTTTACGCAGAGAAGATGCAAGGGATGCGCGAGCTCCTCGACTTGTCGATGAAAAAGGAGGTTGTTGAAGCCATTGAATATAACAAGAAGGAAGTTGAGAACAAAGGAATCAAAGTTAAGGATTTTGAGGAGATACTGGAAGAGCCAATGAAACATATTGGTCGAATTGGGTTTGTCATCATGCGACTGCTCCTGTCAATGCAACACCCTCCGCAGAGTGTGATCAAGGCGGCTTCAAATTATATAAAGGTAATAAGTGTAAGTGGGTGTAAATCACTGAAGAAATTGAATCACCTCACTGGTATGGATTTGAAAGCAGACAACCGAGAGGTAGTCTTCTTCGGAGGACTCAAAATCACATCGCGCGAGTTTCGTGGGAAAGACTGGGTTGAGTGTTTCTTGTTCAACGACATCCTTGTCATCGCCAAAATTGATGTGACGGAGAAGTACCGTTGTGAGAAGAGTACATTACTCAAATTTGAAAATGCGCCGTATGGAGAAGAACCGGAGTTATTGGAGAAGTACTACTGTAAAGTTGAGTATACTTGCAGTGTGAAGACCTTGAAAATCTGTAGCGACAAAGGATATTCGTTCACTATGAATTCGATGGTTTGTGTTTGTTTCAATATGGAGCAAAAGAAGTTGTGGACCACGGCATTCAGAAGGGTTCAACCGTTATTTATGATGTAATTTGTATATTGTTTTATTGATTCAAATTGAGTTCCTGTTGCAAATTGCATATCCAAAAGATTGATCACACTTTTGGCCATCAGCTTTTGAGACTCTATTTAACCCTTGACTATCACTAATAGTAATATATAATTCTATTAATCAATTAAATAGATTCCAAAAATCATTAACGAACCACACAAAAGATTCTGCTGATACTATCAGAAATAGTTTATTACTAGTTATGTATTTAATAAAGTATAGTAAAATGACCAAACCTAAATATACCATTGTGAAAAAGACACACAACAATTGAAATGCAATAGTGTGTGACGTGTCCGATAAAAGTGGGAACTAGAAAATATACTATAAGTATAGTAGTTAGATAGTAAACGAGAGGGCCCAAAAATGAAACGGCCCACGAAATAGTAATCAACAATAAGAAAAGAATTAATAAAAGAACTAGAACTTTAAATAGAGGATTTGCAGAAGGCCAAGAATAATTGGAAGGCGAGGCGTTTCTGGCAGAAGGTTATCAGGCTTCCTCTTACCTTCGACAAAAAGGGAACTGTGAACCACAAAGTTGGAGATGACTGAGGAGGGACAACAAAAAGGGTTGTTGAATGACACGTTGCCACAAGACGAAGTTGAGTATAAAGATGACCCGACTGGATCGAATGGGATATTTGGGACGATGTTTAATTTAGCGAACACCATCATCGGCAGTGGCACTTTAGCGATTCCATTGGCTTTCCAATTTTCTGGGTATGTAGGTGGCCCTGTCTTGTTATTAGTAGCGTGGTTTTTGTCTGCATTTGCGATGTATTTGCTGACATATGTCTGTGTGAAAACGCACATGTGGACATATAAAGAAATCTCCGAGAAGATTGGTGGGAAGTGGTTGTCCTATTTAGTCCAGATCTCTATTTTTTGTTATACGACTGGGACATGTATTGCTTACCCCATTTTCTTGGGCGGGTTTATGCCACATATCTTCTCTACGTTTGCGCCACGCACGATATTAGTCGATCGACACTTTGATATCATGATCATTGGGTTTTGTGTAGTGTACCCCTTGTCTATGTTCAAGAATTTGAGTGCTTTGAAGTACGCATCTTTGCTCTGTTTGGTGTGTGTGATTTACACGACCATCACTACTATTATAGAGACCTTCACAACTTATTTTGACAACTTTGAAAACAACCCCCCAGTATGGTTCAATGCAGATATACAGTTTTTGAGAGGATTTCCATATATGACGTGTGCGTTCACTGCACATTATAACGTCTTGCGATTTTATTCTGAATTGAAAGGGCGAAGTATCAAGAAGATGAACTTGATAGTATTGGTCTCAACTTTTGTAAGCTTTTTGGTTTACTTACTCATCGGGTTGTTTGGGTACTTCTCTTTGAATCCAAATTTGACGGGAAACATTTTGGTCGATTACCCTACTAGTGATATCCCAATGTTTATCGCCTGCATTTCGTTCTGTTTGGTCATGTCACTGTCATTCCCATTGGTCCACCACGCACAAAGAGATATCTTCGACAAGTTGGTCTTTGCTGGATGGGAAGATTCACAAGTCAGAAGAGTCTCCCTCTCACTCATTTTGATTTCTGTTTGTATGTTCTTGGCTGCCGCTGTCGAGCAGATTTCAACCGTGTTGGCTTACAATGGATCCATCTTCGGGTCACTTGTTGTTTACATCTTCCCCTCCGTCTTTGCTTTCAAAGTCGCTAAAGGACCATTAAAGTGGATATCTTTAGGAATTTTCATTATTGGAATTATTATGGGTGGAATTGGTCTTGGGATTACTATAGCCAATCAGTTCAATGCCTTCGACTAACATACGTTGCCAAGACATTTACAGTTTTTAATTAATACAGTTATTGTTGTTGTTGGCTTAAAACATCAAATTAACAACTTAATAGTTTAGTTATTTGTAATTTTATAGAAACTTTCAATAAATAGGATTGAGTGTGTTTTTATCAACAGTTAAATATAATTTTTATTGAATTATATATAATATCGTTATTTGAACTTGATTTAACTTAATTAAGTCGATTTGATATCATTTTTTGTATTGGGATTAATCAAATAATTAGAAAATACTACTAAAATTCTATTATTACTAGTATCACTTTTAATGTATTTTTCATTTCTGTGGCGAAACAAGAAAAATGAACATCACAAAAAGCATTTAAAAAACAGAAACGATTATACTTCCGTTTTTTCAACAAAATTCAACTTTTAGATTGTTATATACAAAGAAACAAATAGAGTCAAAAACCATTAAAACAGTCATTAAATGACTAAGATATCCAAGTCAAACGAATTATAAAGAATGAATCAGTTCACAAAATAGCTTTTGTGTCAGAGTTTTGATTCAGAAAAGGTCTCCAAGATATGATGCTCTCTCGTGGGTGTATAGCGATCACTTCGCAACTTTGACTTCTGTAAGTTTTGGCTGGGATTGCGCAGGTTCTTCTTCGCTTTCGCTTGTTGAAGTTGTTGATGACGAAAGTACTTTTGCAAGTCGTTGGTAGTTAACTTGAATGTCTTTCACCTCTTTGTGTTTAATTTGTTGCGCACTTTGTTGCGAAACCGACGACGCTGGTGACATTTCTGTGCTTTTCAACGGTTCTTCCACCTTTTTTGGTCTGAATCTGTAAAACAAGTAAATTGCAAGGATGACAAACAGAATGACAACAATTGCAACACAAATGGCAATCCAACCCACAAAATCGATTTGGGAACACGATGTGTTGTAGCATATGGATGGAGACAAATCGCACTCAATGCCAGTAATGCATTTTTTGTATAAGTCACAGCACTGGCACGTTTTGTGTATCGACTTTCCGCCCACAAACTGGCCTGGGGTCGAGCTGTCGGCCAAGCACTTTTTAAGCTCTGTCTGGCACGTCGAACATTGTATCTCGTTTGTCTTGTTCACTGTTTGTCCGGGGACGGAAAATAACATGAGTGATAAAAAAATTATTAAGGGCATTGCTTCAGTTCTGGGAGTGAAGGGGTTGACTTCGAAGTTCTCAGTTGCCACTTTTTTTCAAATTTCATTATTTTTGCCCCTTTAATATCCCACCATTCCATCACTGACATTTTTTTTGATTAACTACATTTTTATAATAAATTTTCTATTTTTTAATTATTTCACATTAATGAATAAATGGTTTTTACTAATAATAAAACAAATTATAAAATAGTAATAATATTAATTAATAAATTATTAAAATAACATAAAAAAATTTTTGGTTGATACAATCAAAAAACAATTATAAATGAAATGTTATACAAAACATTTTTCGATAATGAAACCCAAAATATTGTTCGAATCAGTTGTGACTGAAAAGCAATTTACAAACTTTAAAATATCCAGTTTACTCATGAAAAGGCAATGTATGATCGGAGTCAACTTGAAAAGTGTTCCTACCATTAATGGGATCCCTTATCCTATATACGACATGTTAGACGTTTTAAGCCACGACTGGTCTTTTATACTAAGAGAAGGTATTTTTAGAGTACCTGGTAACTATGCTGTGATAAAACAAGTCACAGATTTTTATGAAAGAGGAGAAACAGTCGATTTGTCACAACTTAATGTCGATGTGGTGGCATCTCTTTTGAAAAATTATTTAAAGCTCATTCCAAATAAGTTAATATCAGATGATGAAAGAGATATGTTTGATGCAACAATTCGTTTGTCTGTATATAATTTATTTTATATTTGAATAAAATATCAATGAATATATATATATATTGATATATTATAACTAATAAGTAATTATTAGAAATCGATAAATCTTACAATGATATTATATTAATGAATATGATTAATGCAGTCTCTTTTCTCAAACTGTTTGTTATTATAAATGTTATTATAAATGTTATTTAAATAACAAGAACTGAATTAATAATAAACACTAGAACTAATTACTTGACTTTAAAACATGTGATTTTCCATCTAAGACTTGTTTCACAATATTCAAGACAAAACTTAATGGATGTGTCTAACTTGGCGACAGTTTTTGCGCCAGCGATGTTTTCTTTGTCGCTTCAAGAATTAATGAATAAGGACAATTATGCTGTCAAAACAATAGTCTTTTTCATAGAGAACTATGATAAGATATTTATTAGCAATGTCCACAAAACAGTAAGCGCTTATATGGAACCAACAGAGTATCAACTTCCTCGCACTAAAAACCCCCAAACGCCACGTCCAAAAGAAACACCCCATGTAACTGTATAACATTTTCATTCTTTTTTTTGTTATTTATTTCTTATAATGCAAAGAAAACAATAGAACTTGAAAATTCTATATTATTTGGTGAATGATGATTTTAGTGTTATTTTTGAGTGTGCTGGTTGTTGGACAATTTCCGGAGTGTCGCGGAACCGTTTGCAAAAAGCTTTTTGAGGAAGTCAAAGCGAAAATAGCGGAATATAACCAACAATACACGGCGTTGGAGGAAGAGGGGAGAGCTTATATGGTTCAGTACGACAACGAAAAGTCGGACCTTCAACTGGTCCGCGATGCACAAGCGCGACAAAAAATACGAGAGATGACACAACAGTTAATGTCAAAGTACAAGGAATTACCTGCTAAAAAGAACCAAATTCTTAAAGAAGTTGTAAGAGCACTAAGACCATTAACTCCTGCTTTACAGGGACAACTTTTAAGAAACACTGGACTCTTCTATAAATTCGCACCAGAGTATAACTCAGACGTCGCCCGTTATATCAAAATATTCAATAACCTCCAACAAATCAACCCACAACAAGCAAAAGAAGAACAACTCGAACAACAAAAGGAGGAACAAATGGCGAAACAAGCGTTGCACGGAAAACAGAATGAAGAAGCTTGATAGATATTAAGTAAAGTCCAGTTTTGTTTCTACCTATTTTTAATAGGACTTTATAGTTAATTTGTTCACATTTTGTTATACAAACAATTCTCAAAATAACTTAGAGTTTAAATAATCTTTTTTTTGTGTGCATAAAATACCAAAATACAAGTTAGAGAAAAAGAACGAGCGCGAAACACAATGAAAGTGCGAGAGGATATGACGTGTTTGGGTTGCGAGTGTTCTGTGTTGGAGTGCGAATACAATGACCAGTCTTGGAACATGAATACCCAACTCCACATGAACCACAGTATTGTTCACACCCTGCAGTGAAGTTGAAGTAATTTGTGTATGTTGTTGCACTGTCTCTGAGTGTCGAATTGCCAACAGTACACCCACGACCTTTACAATCAAACGATTCCGTCGTGCACGATACCATCTTTGTCGCATCACGTGCACGTGAGACTGCTGTTGTTATCTTCATCACCGTTTCACTTGGAACATCAAAATCAAATGCTATTCCATTGTCTACTTCTTATTCTTTTCATTAATTACAATAATTATTATATTAATAATAATAATTAATAATAATTAATAATAAACAAACAATAACCTTTTTCTGATTGGTTGAGAGAGACTTTTGCAGTGATGACAAAAAGACCCCCACTTTCTGTTGTTTCGGTGTTGAATTTGAGTCTGTAGCTGACTTCGTGAACAAAATATGTTGAATTTGTTGTGTTGTCGAAAGCTGAGGCAAGGCGGACATTTTTGAGAATGCATTTTTGCGAGCAATTAGCAACAAACACAAATTGTTTGAAATGGCGAGTGAATTGGAAGAGTGTTGGATACACAAAAGACACACCACTGTGTGTGGTGTTGAGTGTTAGTTGTGCGTACTTCAAGTTCTTTATTTCCGCGTCTGTGTAGTCCACATAGAAATTTGAATTGATAGGTGGGGTGAGATGCAATGCGGCTATTTTGTATCTGAAAGGTGCTGACACAAAGGAGTAGTTTGTTGTTGTTGAGAAAGCAATCAGTTGTGGCAGAAATTCGCACGTCTTGTTTTCAAGTGGTGGGGTGTATCGAGACAACGCAACGTACGTGTTTCTCGGTGTTGTTGTGACTGCACTGAAGCAGGTGCGCTGCCCTTCAAATGAAGTCACACACACCTTCTCTATCGTTCTGTTTTCTGCTGTTTGCAGCGTGAAATAGCCATCACCATCAATGTCCGATGATACAGTCCCGTTGCTGATCGACACAACACGCTCATTTGTGTTGTACACAACTAATTTGGTGTGTGTTGAGTTTGTGGCAAGCACTGTCAACACGGGAAATGTCGCGTAATTGCACGACGTGTACGACGCTGTTGCTTCCGTTGCTTTGAATGCCGTTCCTGATGACATCCGCTTGACACTTTCCTTGTTAAGAAATACAATGTACGACAACCGCCCCTCCGCATTCATCGCAGTCGCATACTGCTCGTCTACAGTGTAATACCCCGCTATCATACACTGCGTCGCTATCAACGATGGACCAACAAGTGACATGCAATGCCCACATCGCGAGATGTTCCGCCTCTCCGTGTGGATGTGCATCTGTGTCGAGTACACATAACACTCCGCTTTGACACGAACACCATAAACATTCTTCCTCAACTCACCCATCTCTTCATAACACTTGTGAAGGCTCACTACATCCGCAAATTCACCCATCGCTTCATGCTCAAACATCACATCTTCATCAATCACATACATCTGTGGTACACACGGCGTGTTTATTATCAACGCTCTCACAACCACTACAAAAATCAGAATATGAAATCGTAGGTACATATTGATTATTGTCCATTTTTTAAGTTTCACGGTTCCAAATAATTATAGTTTTATTATACCATAGTTAATCAGTCAAACAACAAATGTTATTTATTTATTACTAAAAAAACACTTATAATTAGTTTAGAAGAATGAACACAATTATTGTCACTGATAAATGTGATACATTCGAAAACACAATTCTGACCGACGAAGTTACTAAAAGTATCATGGGAGAGTTATTCGAGAAGTACAAAAAAGAGTGTATTGTTCTTGATTTAAAAGTAGACAACACAATTACACCAATTAACAGTTGCGTTGGTGGTATACCTTATTACCCAAAAGGATCGGTTTATCCTTACATAGATGGACATCCACTTGTGTTGTTATGTCAGATCAATTTCTCTGAAATGCCAAAACTCGTTAATTTTCCAACAAGTGGAATGCTCCAATTTTTTGTTGATCCCGAAGACCAGTACGACACTTCAAGGTTTAAGGTTCTTTACACTAAAGAAGTTTCTATTGCAAATCACCAACCACTTCCAGATGATGCAAAGATCGCAATGGAAAACAAAAACAAAGAAGTTCCGTATTTTGGTGTATTTAGAGTTCATGGCAAACTCGGCGAGACAGTTGCAATTCCATTAAACGAACGAGAAAATATTGTTAAAAAGCTTGCAATCAAATATTCTGCGAGTACATCAGCTATAGAATTTCAAATTGACACAACACAAGCATTCTTCAAGGCAGTTTCTAATTACGGAGGATGTCCTCATTACATCCAAATGGAAGAGAGCTTCCGTGATGATATTGGCAATAAAGATACTCTTTTATTACAATTGGCATCTGAAGAGTATTCTGAAAATGAAGAAAAATATCCCGATGGGAACGATACCAATAAAATGGAGTGGTGTGATAATGGTGTTGGGCTTTTCTTCATCAATCATGACAACTTGAAAAACTTAGACTTCTCTGATATATTTTATGGTATTGACACCGATTAATTATTAAATTCATTTATTCTTTTTTATAATAAATGTAATTATATCAATCAATAATATTTTTCGTCATTTCAATTCAAAAAACTTTCATTTAAAAGAATATCTTATTGAAAAGAATAATAGATTGGTGTATTTTACTTAGAATGATAGTTAAATTATAAGTCTACAATACCAAAATATTGATTATATATTTCAGATCAATAATTGGTGGTAAACCCATGATTTGGATTTTGCTTGTAAAAAGCAAATTTCGTTTACTGTTTTTTTTTTGTGTTGTAAAATACCTATTGATTTACACAATAATCTACCTTTTCAAATTCGTAAGTCGACAACTCAAATTAATTAAAGATCATTGGCATTTTTAACCGCCTTTTCTCACAATAATTCAAAAAAAGTTCGTAGTGCATTTTTGAAAAATATGAGTTCCATTTTCAAATCGTCGACCTTTTATTGAAATTGTTATTTAAAGAACGCCACGTCCCATTTTCAATGTAACTTCTCTTGAACTTACTTTCCAAGATTCGGAGCAAGTATTTATATAAAATAGTACCACGTGTCGCAATCTATAAATTATTTTCAGGGTAACTCATCACATCCAGATGTCAGACGCCAAGTACAGAATTCACTTCGAAGAGCTCGAGAAGTTCATGAAAGACGTTTTGATTGCCAAGGGCTGTGAAGAAGCCGTTGCTGCTAGATGTGCCAAGGTTCTTATTCAAGCCGATAAGCAAGGTATGGACACCCATGGTATCCAGAGACTCAAAACCGTTTACGTCGACAGAATTGATGCTGGTCAATTGTACACCAAGACTGGATTTGATGTTATTAGAGAAACTGATACGACTGCTGTAGTTGATGGACACAATGGTATGGGACACTCTGTTGCTATGCAAGCAATGCAATTGGCTATTGACAAAGCCAAGAAACACGGACTTGGAATGGTAGTTATTAAGAATGGTACTCACTATGGTATTGCTGGGTATTATCCACAAATGGCCTCACAACAAGGTATGATTGGATTCTCTGGCTGCAACGCGAGACCATCCGTCTGCCCATGCTGGTCCGTCGAACCAAAACTCGGAACCAACCCACTTGTCTTTTCATTCCCATCAGATGAGCCATTCCCATACTGCCTTGATTGTGCTACTTCTATTGTCCAGAGAGGAAAGATTGAAATGTATGCCAGAGAAGGAAAGAAATGCCAACCGGGATGGGTCTGTGACAGATCAGGAAAGGTCTTGACTGAAGCTCAACCAATGCTTGAAGCTTTCCAAAAGGGAACTGCTGCTTGCTATCCACTTGGTGGATATGGTGAAGAGATGGGAGGCCACAAGGGATACGGATATGCTGCTTTGGTTGAAATCTTGTCATCATGCTTGTCTGGTGCCAACTTCTTGTCAGGATGCTCCGGATTGAAGGACGGAAAGAAGGTCCCAATTGAACTTGGACAATATTTCATGGCTATCAACATTGAATGCTTCAGACCACTCAAGGAATTCGAAAAGCAAGTCGGAGACATCTGCAGAGAACTCAGAGCTGCTGCTAAAGCCCCAGGCGCTGAAAGAATCTGGACCCCAGGAGAGAAGGAATACTACACCATGCTCGACAGAAAGGAGAAGGGTGTATTCATCCCAGACGTAACTAGATCAGAGATGGAAACCCTTAGAAAGGATTGCAAGCTCGACACTAAATTCCCATGGGACAATTAATTCATTTTTTCTTTTTCTGTTTAAAAAAATAGTAACTATAAAATAGTTTCTTTATAATTTAATTATTAAATAATTAATATTATTTTTTATAGTTTATTAATAATTTTTAAACCATTTTCAAATTAGAGTTGGATAAACTTTATTTTACTATTACACGAATGAATTGGTCGCTTTCCATTTATGGGTCACAATATGAAAATGAAATAATTTCATAAACAAAAGTAAAATTTGAATAAGAATTAATTATTTAAAATTACCCACAACCTTTGAAGTTTCTCAGTTTTTATGTAGTGTCTTATTTTTGAAACTATATAATATAATAACTTTTATCAATGTATATACTATTATTGTTTTTTTCTTTTGAAAAAAAAACATGTATTCTATTGTTTTACTATATTCAACTATACTATATAATAGTTATTGTTTAATTTAAATTAACAATTAATAAACCAGATTAAATTATCCTAATCGCCCGTTTAAATACTAAACTTGAACGCCAATTATTCCGTCAAATGTCCAATCATTGTTTTGAATTAATTCAGCAATTCTTTGTTGTTCTTGTATGACTCGTGGAGGTAACTGCCTTATTACTCCTGGGAGAGAATAACATTCATTAATTAAATAAAAATGAACATCTCTTAATGGATACGCAAGAACATGATAGTTACATAAACAATGACAAATTGTAGTCAAATTGTTATATTTGTTTATACTCAACCAATGAGGTTCTCGCATTATTTTAAATAAACTAACTAATCTCCCAAACATGTTTTGCCACTATAATTCTAAGAGAAGATACTATGCTGTTGTGAATTTTTATTATACCATGAGTGATTTCATCATCAGTTGTGTCGAATTTATACATTCCAAATACATTTTCAATTGAACCATACGCAGAGTCAGCCAGTACAAATTCGTTATGCTGAGTCAACCACATTTTGAAATTTTTAAAAATTGTTGCATCGTGGAATGAAGCTGGTATACATGT